CTCACAAAAACAATAACAAAAACAATCCGAATATCCTCACTAAGCTAAAGGGGATTCGTGGGAGCTGAGCTATGTAAATAGTTTGAAATGCGACAAATATCCAGGGCACTGCTGGGAGAACTCTGACTTTGTTTCAAAGTAACTTCCTTCACTGGCAGTTTATACAAGTAAACTGAACACACACAAAAAAATAAATTTACTCGAGGATCAAGCTTCTGGTTTCTGCTTCACTGGCCTCAGCTTCGATGTCTATTTCTTTCTCAGATTCGACCTCATCAAACTCAACTAAAACCTCTTCCTCGCATTCCACGCCAATCTCCTCTTGAGATCCCACTTCGACCTCCTCCTCAGTTCTGACTTCAGTCTCCTCCTCAGATCCAACAACAATCTTCTCTTCAGATTCCTCCTCAAATCCTTCTTCCTCTTCCTCTTCCTCGTCTGTCTTAGAAGACGGTTGTTTGGCTGAAGCTAACAAAAGAGACAAAAACAGCAGATAAAGAGCAACTTATGTTACATGCACATTCATGTATGCAAATCCATGTGAGTAGACATAACCCGAGATAATAAAACAAAAAAAGTATTATATTTCAAAAATACGCTTACGTATATTGAGGGCTTACAACATTGCTTTTTATAAGAAAAAAATGAAATTCTCTATTTCAAATAAGTGTTACCTTTAGGTCTCAATGAGGCCGGTGGTTCGTTTGGATTCTTTCGGAATTCTGCAATGTTTTCCTCATGTCCAACATCGTTATACAGCTGTTCCACCGTGCTTTTGAGTTTTGCTTTGTCATAAGAGTACTCCTTCTTCCCAATAAAGTCTGGTCTCACAAGAACTTTTTTGTACAGGGCAAGCTTGATGTTTGTGTGTTTGGTGAGTTTATCATGCTCGGCAAGTTTAACGCAAAGCTCAATGGCCTTGTCCAAGATATCATCTCTTTTTCTTAGCATCTCGTTAAGCTCGCTGTTATCTGTTTCCTGGTCAAACTCCTCTTCAAATTCTTCCTCAGTAGCACTCTGCAGCCCTTCATAGAACCACAGGGCGTCCTTTTCTATTTCACCAATGTCACTCTTGTCACCCTGCAGGTACAATAACGCATCAATTATCTCTTTGTTGTACTCAGTGAAGCTAAACTGCTCCGAACGTTTCTCTTCATCCCAGAAGCGCTGGCAAAACTTCAAAGCATCCTTCCTAAATTCTTCAATCTTTTCCCTTTTTCCTACTCGATCACACACTTTCTCGATACTTTGAACAATCTTTCTCCACACAGGACTATGGTTTCCCGCAACGAGCAATTTCTCCATTTCCCATGCTTCAAAGAACAGATCTAAGGCTTTCTCGAATTCTTTTAAGTAGGCCTGAAGCAGTGCTCGCTGGAAAATGCTACGCACAGTATCTGGGTGGTTTCCGAGAAGCTGCATCCTTATGTTGTAAGCTCTGTCTGCATGTTCACTTGCTTCTCGATACTTCCCCTGAAACATAAGAGCATTGGCAAGGTTTCTACAGAAGTGTGCTTCATCGCTAAACCCTGAAACTTTGAGCTTTTCCAAAAGATTCAGGGCATCTCTGTAACACTCCGCTGCCTTCTCATAGTCTCCCTGACCCTCATATGCTGTGCCGATTTGATTCTTGTACATTGGCATGTCAATATGATACTCTGAACCGGCAATTTCCTCTTGCATGTTGTATGCTATTTTGTAGAACTCAAGTGCTGCCTCCGAATTCTGGAGGTGGGAATGGCAGTTTCCAATAGCATTGTAACACCTTGCAAGATCAGGATGACCTTTAAGGAGTTCTTCTCTAAATTGTAACGATAACTCCAAGCTTTCTAGTGCTTTCCTGCAGTCTCCCTTCTTCCAGTAGATCTCCCCCTCAGAATACAAGTGAAGTCCCTTACTGAGTCGGTAAGATTCACTTGATTTGTCTTGAACTTTCTCTAACGAACAGGACGCTTCCTTCAACACTTCAAATGCTTTCTCAGTTCCATCATGATCTAAAACTTGCCGAGCTTCCCAGCATTTCAACTGCGCCCGGAATAGAGAATCTGTACAAGAACAGAAAAAACACCTTACAGGTATGAATGAAATAGTATATATGGACTGACTTTTTTCAGTTTCAAAAAAGGAAAACCAGTAGCAAGTACACATACATGAACCCCACTTCCTCCAATTACCAACATCAAGTAAACCCTATAAGTTCGCTGGTGTCTTGCATAAGAACACAACTAAGTCAGACCCTAACCATCACTCAATTCTGACTGGTCGACTGCTCTAGAGATCACTCCACACAAATTATCAGGCGATTCCATCACCTTCTGCTGTACACAGGAGCATCAGGTAGATACTAAGTATTCAGGGTCCTAAAATGTTAGATTCTACAGTACTTCAACATTTCAAGTATCCTTGCAACGAATACAAGCTAGGGAGAAAAAAAAAACATTTGAGACAAGGGACATTTTCTCTATAAACACACAAGAACTACAAACTTCTTAACCTCGCTCGTGAGCTATGTGTGGCTAGTCATACTAAGAGGATAAAGTTAGTTGGTGTAAGTGTAAGGAACAATGATGGAAGGCTTTACTTCGAATGCATCAGTTCTCTTCAACAATAATTGTTGGATTCAAACTGTTCAGACTGGTTAGTCTATTAGGAAATACTTGCGAAAGATCGCATTCCTTGTGGTTAAACACCAATTTCAGATCTTTTCATCGCCTATTCATGTAAATCACCTACATAAACTTTGAGTGATTTTTTTTCTCCGAGAAAGGGGCAACGATGAGGACCAGGGTGGGGTATGTGGGTGTGGAGAGGGGGGAGGGGGGAACTGAAAGGTCTGAAATTTATGGATTATGTTTGTGTACGTAACTACGCCCAAGGAAGGTATTTTTATCTGATTTGATATGACCCTATAATTGCTGTATTGTTTAAAGTATTTTTTCAACCATGAATTTCAACTATGATTTGTTTGGGTTGTTTTTTGTGAGCAAGGTCCAATACAAGGTCCCTGTCCACAGAAATGTTTACATGTACACAACCACGAATATTATCACAAAATATAACTGTCATAAGTATAAATTTACTAGCGTTCTATCACGAATGCCGTTCTCTGATTGGCTACGTAACTCACTATCTATTCTCTGATAGATAGTGAGTAGCGCAGCAGTGGGCCCTTGTTAATAAAATGACGGCCGCTTCTTGGCGTTTTCCAAGTGTCTGTGAGGAGGATTTCTATAAAGTTTTGAATGACTAGTAGATATATATTAACACTATTGGATTATTCGCTCTCGATTTCTACGCGTGATAGTTGACTCGGGCTGCGTCCTCGTCAACTATCACGCGATAGAAATCGAGAGCGAATAATCTAAATGTTAAATA